GGTGATTTCTCACTTTCTGTCTCTATGTCTCTCTCTGTCTGTCTGGCGAGTGCACGCGCCCTATAGTGAAAATCTCTCCAAAAAATTAATAAAAATAAATAAATTCTTAGAACAACAACAAAAAGACACCACGCCCCCTACTGACCCACATAAACCTGTTAATAACTTTTTTTTTTTTGAGAAGTTTTTGCTATAGGGCACTTGCACTAGCCAGAAAGACAGAGAGAAGCAGAGAGAAAGCGAGAAATCACCCCCGCCCCCCGGGGGATGGCCATGCCACAATCCCTTCTCCTCCATTCTCCTCTCAGGATCCTGGGCATGCATGCACACGAGCCTGGTGTGAGTTTAAGCCATCGGGTCCGGGACTTGGACCATTGTCAACTACATGGGAGCCCAGCGACATAGCCATTACGTCAACTGCTGGTCCCACCTGTTAATTACTTTAAAGAACAAGTTTCTTTTTTTTTTTTTTAAGGTAAAAAAAGAGAGTAAAAAATGCCTTACATGGGAAATCTGACATCTTCCCACCCTAGATGCTATTAGATGTCTTCAATGTCATAGTGCCCACTTAGTAAACTCCTCTTACAAGCCACCCTCTCCCTGCCCTTGATAATCTCTGAAATGTCTGCGGGCAAGGCTTAATTCAACAAATGCTTCTGTGTGGGGTGGTTGATCTTAAGCCTGTGGCGAACAAGCAGGCTCCAGATTCCTCCAAATCCACCTTTCTTTGCCTCCAATTCTTACGTGTCCCAAAGACAGGGAGCCACAGACACCTTTGTAGGAGGGTAAAGAGCAAGTATTAAATTCCAGCTTTACAGGAGAGAAAACTGAAGTTTCACTGAAGTACAGCTTGCTAAGTTGCTCAGCTGATGCATGGCAGGGTGGATCTGAAGTCTGACTGCAAAGCCAGCATGCCTTTTACAGTTGTTCCCATGACTGGGCTACAGCAATTTTACCAGTGAAGACAAATTTACTTGCAAGATAAAAGATTGTGAAAGGAAATGTATTTTTTAAAGAGTTCTTTATTCATTCATTTATTTTAGTTTGACCAGATAGGGAAAGTGAGAAAGCAAGCCACCAGGTCTAGGACTTGAACCATGGTCCACCATGTGAGAATATTCAGCTAGCCCCTGGAAGGAAATGCATTTAATATAATTAATAAATGTGGGATCCTAGCTTGTGAGTCCTCTTTTCTGGGCCATGGCTCTAGTCAGTCATTTCATTTCATTTCTTTTCTTTTTTTATTAAGAATGATTTTATTTAAATTTATTTTAATTTGACCAGATAGGGACACAGAGAGAGGGAATGTGAGAAAGCAAGCCTCCAGGTCTGGGACTTGAACCACGGTCGGCCATGTGGAAGTCCAGCACCCTTCACCACCATGCCACCTGCTGGCCCCTCTAGCCAGTCATTTCTATGATTGCCTTCCCCTTAACTCTGACTGCCCAGATCAAAGATCTGATTGGAGCCAAAGCGGGCCTTCTTCTGGGCAATCAGCCACCACCAGCTCCAATCTCTGAGGTGTCCTGCAAACTCTGGTGGAGCCAGAGTGGTGTTCTGAGTGTCAAGCTGTGACTGCCTGCTAACACGCCTTGGATAAAGCATTTTCCACGATGTGGCCCTTGGATGGCCTGTTCCCTGGGATGATGAGTACATTTAACCATTTTCAAAAAGTTTCTACAGTGAAGTCATTAGGAAACACCTAAGCAGCGATTTTCGAAGTGTGGTAATACGCTGTGTGATTCGTCTGGACAGAAATTGGAGCCGGGAACTATTTCTGTTGGGTCTCTCACTCACCTAACAAAGATTTCCAGAGAGGCTGGCAGTCCAGGGCACCGTGCGAAGCACTGGGAGTACAAAGCAGATGAAATCCCTGCCCAGGTAGTGTTTGCAGTCTAGAAGAAAAGAGACCATAAGCGAATACATAAGATGTCCAGTGTATAGTTCTAGTCTGTTGATTTGCTCTGAGAGTTCAAGAAAGGCACCCCAACAATAAAACAGAAAAAAGCACCCAGTTTTACTCCTTAAGGGGAAATGAGAGAGTTAGACTACTTGTTGGGCAAATTTATCTTTCAGTTTTAATATTCCAAAGTAATGATTTTGTGCGCATGTGTGTGCATGTGTGTGTGTGTGTGTGTGTGTGTGTGTGTGTGAGATCTCATTCCTAATTACACCAAGCAATAATCTGTTCTCGCCCCGTGCTGTCACCCGCATCCCAGGCCAGAGACTCGGGCTTCCTGTGGAGCAGAACTGTGCTCTTCCCTCTCAGGCCTGTTGAACTGGCAGGAGGAGAGCCGGGGGGTCCCCGTCCTCCTTTCAGTCCACTCCCCTGCCTCACAGAGCGGGACGCCAGCACTTGCTTTCACCAATAATGGCTTCATTAGATTGAAAGGAGACGAGAGTGACCTCAGTGAAATAGACTTCCTGACCCCAGCTGACCTCTGACCCTCACCCTGACAGCCTCTAAATCTTTTCCTTCTGACACATCCCCCACAAGGTATGGCAGGAGGAGAAAAGGATGCGCCTGCTGGCGCCCACCGGCCGGGAGCTGAGGCTTGCCAGGACCCTCTCCCGTGGCTCGTGACGTCCAGCTGGAATGCCTCGTGGCTGAAATCTTGTCGGGGGTCCTCCTGCGACTCTGGTCTGGTCTGTGGCCACGGTTCAACCACCTGTCATCCACCTGGTGTCCACTTGTCGGCACCCAGTGGCTGTCATGCGCCGTGGAGGCAGGAGGCAGGGTACTTGGCCAAACGTCGTCCTTTCCCAAACGCGGCTCAGCGCAGTCCTCGCCTTCTCCCCGCTTCCCTGATTCAACGGTTTCTCTCCGGGCCGGCTGATGGCACCCCGGCACGCAGCAGGCCTGTGCGCGGTCTCCCCCAGGCCTCAGCCTTCCTAACTGCACCCCCGTTCCGCTGCAGAGGAAGCAGACGTGTTCCCAGTTAGTGACTTGCCTCAACGCACAGAACACGGAGGTGGACCCTAGGTCTAGCCCACTGCAATTTCTTCTTTCCCTTTTAAAAATAGTCCAAGTAATTAATGCCCGTGGTTTAAAAAATCAATTAGTATCGAAAGAATTATAATGAAAAAAGCAGTCCCAGGGTTACCCCCCTACTCTTCTAATCCCTTGAGGGAACTACTGTTCGAGGCATTTCTTCTGGAAGATAGTTCCATTTCTCTAAATAATATGCATGTATGTCTACTCCTTGATCTGTCGATTTGAGATATTATCTATTGACCTCCTGTGACGGCGGGGGAGGACATACTGCTCTTGTAGGGCCCACCTCCCCTGTCCCCTTCCTCCAGCTAAGGTTAAATCTTCATTTTCAACTAAATTAGTAACCAGTGTTCATGTTCACATTGCTGGGATTACGGACATGTTCACTGCATTAGATGGCCAAGTGCACTAAGAGGAAATTTCCTTTTTCACACTTTTATTTTCTTTGGACTCACTGATTCCTTTCTTCCCTTCCTGCACCATTTGTCATGGAGACACCCTTGGCTGGTTTTAAAGACTCCCTCTCGGGCCGGCAGGTGGCATGGTGATTAAGGGTCTTGGACTCGCACGTGGCCGACCACCATACAAGTCCTGGGCCTGGCGGCTTTCTTTCTTTATCTTTTTCTTTTTTTTGGTGAGGTTTTTGCTATAGGGCGCATGCGCTCACTAGACAGACAGGGAGAGACAGAGAGACAGAAAGCGAGAAATCACCCCCCAGGGGGGATGGCCACACCGCAATCCCTTCTCCT